TTTGTTCAACGGACAAACATGTTTAAATCAAACGAGAAAAAATAGAGTTCATAGTATCAACGAGAAAAAATAGAGTTGACCGTGTGAACTCTGTGATACCCGTACGAATTCGTTATCTTATGTGCGAAAAAGTATGCCATAACTGACAGACTATGACATTAAGTTGCCGTATTACCATATTAATTTATTCAAAATTTCACTACTATGTTTTCAATATTTTCTAAGATAAGGCTGAACTACTATTAAAGTTGTATGGTTGCTACCAGAAAGAGCCAAACATATCGGCCCTATTAATACTTTTTTTTTGTGAGAAATTTCAATATAACAGCTTTTATAGTTTCTAAGATATAGCCAAATAACTTTTGAAGTTTTATGGCAGGTACCAGAATTAGCCAATCAATTTCAATGACTTTTATGAGACACATTGGCCCTACTAATATATTCGTTTGTGTGAAATTTCAATTTAAAAAGTGTTCTGGGATTTACTTTAATAAATCGTTTGTGAAAATTTGGTTAACTTAGCCCAATTAGTTTTTGAGTTATCGTGGAAATGGACGGACGGACGGACAAACAAAGCTGAATCGAGTCAGAATTCGACGCTGATCAAAAACATACACTTGAGTCTATACCTCAGACCATTATTTCTTGGCGTTACAAATGGTAAGGCAAATTTAGTATACCCTTCGAACATACGTTCGTACGGATATAAAAGTCGGTTTTATTTTACATATACTCGTAGTTAGATACTTCTTTATTTCTATTTCACAGTCCGTTTAAAGTTTTCAAAAAATGAATTTTGACAGTATCACAAAAATGGGGCTTGGAATATAACAAGTGAAAATACAGGTTTTTTGTTTATTAATTTCCATGTTTTAAATCGTTTTTTTTTTTCATTTTTTTCTTAACATTTATTGTAGTGTAAAGTAAGTGTTATACATAATAATTAATATTGTTTTTTTTATATTTTTTTTAAACCTTATTTATTATTAATATCAAATACTTTTATTTTTTTTTCTTATATCCATCATTCATGTGAATATGATAATAAAAATAACATTAATGTTACATTAATTTAATAATAAAATATATAAATTACAATAGTTAAAAATATGTGTAACAAAAATTAAAGTAAAATAAGAAAACATATGAGAAAAATATAAAAATCAATATTTTAACTACAAAGTCCGTAAGTAATTTAATTATTTCCATAATTAAGTGTTTTTTTTTTCATTTTACTAATTTAAAATTGCACCTTTAAGGTTATGTCTTAATATTCCTTTAAGTAATCTACGTTATACTTACATATTTAGGTAAATATTTTTTTTAATAAATTAAATCAAAATTTTTGTTTTTTATAATATAAACTTGTCGTAAATTTTTTTTATACAGCAATTATAATGTTAAATTTCATCATAATTTATAATAAATATATAATTATATATGTAAATGCATGGCTGTGTATTACATATTATATGCATATTTTGTTATTATACTCACGAATTTATATTATGTAAATTTTTTGAATTTATTAATAATTATTACTGTGACTTCTTATACGTCTTAAATAAATAGTGGATATTTTTTATAGATATCTAAATATACTTTTATTTGTAAGTTTCACTTCTTATATATTTTTTCATTTAAAATTCAGTGTTTTATTTTGATTTTTCGATTATAGCTTTCACATTACCTACTATAATTTTTATTTTTTTATTTTACCTAATGTGTGTACTTAAAATAATATAGAATTTACAATAATAAACAATAATTTAAAATTTTTGGTATATACTTTATAATAAATTGGTTGATAGCTAAATTCAAAATATTATTAGAATTATGTTTACAAACCTACATAATATGTATGTATATCTAAATATTGTAATTAACAAAAAGTTTATGTTAATAAAATCAATGAAACAAATGAAAATTAGGTGAAATAGAAAAGATGAGGCTAAAAGATACTATTTTTGCTATTATTTTTAAATTATTTGATATAATAAGCAACTTCATAATTTTTGTAAAAAGAAAAATTAAGATTTCTTGGAGTTCAAAATTATAACAACAAGTAATTACATACTTTTTATAAAATATAGCCGAAATATCGTTTTAAACAGATAATGTGGTACACAAAGTGCTTGTAGCAATAATAAAACCAGCATTCAATACAAACAAAAATTAAGTTTATAATTCCGCAATGTTTGGAGATAATTTAGAAACTACGAAAAAACAATGGCTTTTGCTAAATAAGCAAAAATTTATAAGGGCGAAAATATATAACACAAATATTTTGTTGAATACAAATTAGAACTGTTTTTGGAAATAACTAAAATGATTTATTTAAATTATTGCGGTACTGAAACCTTGTCGAACTATTATAATAGTTTTTGTGTGACATTCATATAAATTTTTACATAATTTTCGACATCAACATAAATACATATTGTGAAAAATAATCTCAATAATTAAAAATGTTAGAGATAAGAATTACGAGTATTTTCTGTCCAGAGAGCTGTTTTGTTAATTCAGAGTTTTTGTATTTTGAAATTTTCTTTTTTTTTTTTTCTTTTTTTAGGTGTATGAAAAGAAAACACTCTTTTATTCCGAATAAAATACTTTTTTATTTTGCTAATATTTTCGCGTATGTAGCGCACTTTATCAAAGCTGATTTTCTTCTCAGTATTTTATTTCGTTGAAGACCATTGAAGAATTTTTTTTTGTATTTTAAAAAAAAATTTAAATTCTATTCGTAAAACTTCAATATTTTGAATGAAGTATCGTCACCTTACGTGACACATCCAACATGATAAGCCCTTATAAGCAATTATTGAATACTTTGCTATGAAAATTTATTCGTAACGGTTCTTAACAAAGACACATACAACGTTTTAAACAGAAAACAACACGTATAGTATAAAATAACTGATTTAAGTTTAAAAGAATGTAATAATACAAATAACAATAAAAAATACCCAAAAAAAAGGTAATTATATTTTAGTTTTTTTAAACTTTTTTCTAAAAAAAAACAAAAACATGTTATTTTTATATTACACGATAACGTATGTATTTAATTTTAAAACATAAAAAATGGTAAAAAGCACCAACACATAAAATTAAGAAATATAATAAAAGAATTCATTAGAGCGCTTCGGAAGAGGGCCGGTATTAAAAAACAAGTAAAAACATTTCATTCTGTATAAACTGACTGAATCATACCCCGCACCTTTCAATACTGTATGGCAATAACTCGAACTTGTAAAACCATTCTATAGAAACTTCACTGATATATCTCGCCTATAATTAAGCACACATCTGTCAAGTCTCATGAATCTAGCTACATTATATTTCCAAATATCTAAATTTAGCTCCTGGACTTGTATGACGGCTACTGTCATACCTGTCAAAGAATTCCACCAAAACTTGACGAATATATCTGACCTACAATTGGACACGCAATTGCCAAGTTTTGTGAACCTAACTTCATTATTCCTAAAGCTAACTAAATTTCATGAAGCTAGCTTTATTATTTTTTCCAATATTTAAAATTAGCTTTTGGAGTTCTATGGCAGCCATCCGAACCGGCATTTGCAGAACACACGTCACACATATTTATACCTTTATTAGTTTTTGAAATATTTAAAATAAACTCTTTGAGTTGTGTGGCAGCGACCCTAATCCGTTGTCCGAATTAGTGCAATTACAACAGGGTTCATTCTTGTCACAAAAGAAATAACTTGTGAAACTTTGGTGCCGATTGCGTTATTCGTTTTTGAGTTATCGTGCGATCGGATGGACGGACGGATCAACGTCGTCTAAATCAACGCCGAATTTTACGCTGAGCAAAAATATATGAATATATTTATGTTCATACCGCAGACGGCTTCTTCAAGTGATTACAAACTCCATACCAAAGTTAATATACGCTAGTGAGATAGCAAATAAAATATGAAATTAATCCTAAGCTTTATTAGGTTAAGTTTATTATGTAAGAAAAATGAAGCACTTTTTTAAAAAATTTAAAAAAATATAAGGTATAGAACAATTGAAAAAGATTTTAAAATAGAAGTGAAGAACGATGTGAAAATTATGTAGTATTTAAAAAATTATGGCCTGAGCTTTATCGCTTTGGTATTCTGACGCTTAGGGAATAAAATATAAATAAAATACCAAAATCAAAGAATCTTTTGTAAAAAGTTTACTCAATTTTTTATACCATTCTTGTCATATTTAAAAGAGTTATTTCTAATCTAATTGACGAGAAAATATTTACAAATAAAATGTTATTACAAATAAATTTATTTACAATTTTAATTGTTTAAATTTTTTAAACGTTTCTTGTTTTTTTTTTCCTTTTTTCGTTTTTTATTCATATTTAATATCCTATTTTTAAATATTAAAATTACTCTGACAATAAATGTTTATTATTTATAGTTAATAATTTCGTAATTATGCTAATATCGCAAAATAACTTTGTATTCCTGTATGATATAAATATTTTTTAAAAAATTTGCGATAATTTTATATTATTTACATAATTTAGTTTTATGTTTAAAAACGATAAAGATCAATTAATTTTACATACTTTTTACAATTAATTTTTAATTTTAATCGTATTTTATGTTGATATTAATTTAATTTATTTAATATTTCAAATTAGTGGTGTGGTTTTGCATCCAATTTTATAATTTATACTACTGTTGTTTACACAGTAACAAATTCAGAATTTTTTAAGGCCAATGCAATTGAGATCTGTTCAAATTTAGAAAATATTTATAAAATTTTTTAGTTGTACTAAACTGTATTTTTTTCAATAAACTAAAATCTAAATTGAAGGAAAAACTGTCGTTAAGTTTTCTTATTAATTCCTCAAAATTTTTGACCTTTTAAATAAATTTTTAAGTTGTTTTTGCAGAATACTACCTTTATTTATTTATCATATACATTTATGAGTATTATTATAAAAATCTGGATTTCATAAAACTTAACTATAAATGGATGGAAAACGTATCTTGACGTTGTTTGGTAGCTCATTTATAAATATATGTTTATAGTTTTTTAAAACGTTAAATCATTTTAATAATATAACCGTTATTTTAAGAAGATTTACTTACTTTTACCTTAAAGTTTTTATATAGGTGTTGGTAGAACAGTATAATCACTTAATTGAGATTTAACAGTTTCATATATTGGTCTACTTTCGGATTCTGTTATTAGTCCATAAGATTCAGGTGGGGCACATAATGATTGTAATTTTGAAATATAACTATCAAAATGCTCATGATGTCCTATTTTATCACTTATTGAAGAATTTGATGCTACCATTTGCGTGTCCATCATACTTGGCGCCCCAATAGCTGATGATAATATATGAGAGGCTGTTCCAGCATTTGGCGGGGGCGGTGGTGGAAGGGTACCATGATGATGTTGCATCAAATTAGGTGGATAATGTGAATGCGAGTAAATAGATGTTGGTTGAAGTGGATGTGATAAATGGTGATGGGATATTGTTTGCCCCCCTGTTGATAGATTTGTTGAATTCGTTGATACAGGTAATGGAAGAGAAGTTGATGATACCACACTTGGGATGCTGCTCATTGATGTTGTTACCAAAGAGTTTGTGTTAGGTGGATATGTACCAGCAGATGTGTTAGATGGTATTCGAACATGTTCAAGTAATGTTATTACATTATTGCGTAAACTTTCATAGTAATTGTTTAAATTATCACCACTACGTTGGCCTGGTATTATAGTAATTTCCTGTTTCGAAAAATGAAAAGTTTATAGAAAATTAAAAAACAAACAAACTAAAAAAGCATAACTTTGTAAGAATAAAAAAAAAAATTTAATTTACAAGGTAAGTAAAGTTTAAATAAGTTTTTCATTGCATAAAAATATTTTTTAACCTTTATTTTTAAAAATTAATTAAAAAAAAAAATTTGATTAAATATTTTCATGTTTTGCCAACTTTAAACAATTCAGCAACATCTTCAAATCGGGCATCAGCACCTTGGAAACGATAAACAGAATATTTATCTTACCAACTCATAAACAACTACTTTAGGAAGTATACCTTGTACCGAAATTTGTGATATATCACTGGATCAGCTTATCGATCATAAAATTTCATTAATTCTCGTCTATCTATAATATAACTATAATCCTGGAATTACTTTAAAAATTAAATATAGAAACGAAAAAAATTATTACTGATAACAACAACTAAATTAACGCTTTATTTGATGAAAAAGAAAATCTATAAAATAAGTTTTACGATTCGCAAGATTGTGTCACGTGGGATTAAACTTTTGAAAAAGAATATACGCAACTTAATTAAATTGAAGAATGGAACATAGCATCTGCGAAGAGATTGTACATTTTTTAATCTAAAACGTGCCCGTCTTTGGCCTTAAAAATGTACAATCATTATCTATCCGGAAATTTCTTCATAAAGTTTTAAGCTTTTATTTATATATACGCATATAATTTGCACATTGTTCACTTTCAAGATAAGTGCTTTCCGATACGAGTATGTATTTTTATAAATAATGTAGTGGGCTATACAAATAATATGTAGTTAAGCTAATACAAATTTTTTTAGTTATTTTTTATTACACTCCCAAAGATCTACACAATATTCCCTGATAGGGTTTCATTAATAATAAAGTATTTTACTATTTTTGGAGCTCCTCGAAATGTGACTACCCAATCGATTATACCGAAACGGAAGCCTGAACATTTGACTGGTTAAACTTATACCTTCGTTAAAGGTATATTAACTTTGGTATGGAGTTTGTAACCACTTGAAGGAGTCGTTTGTGGTACTCTTTTATACAGAAATCAAAAAAATTATTTACATAAAGCATTACTTTTCCTGCCATTAGTGCCGTGGTTGTGGCGCCGGTCCTTTAACCGAAGGGTCTGGGGTTCAAAGCCCAGGTCAGGTTACTATAAAAATTATATTCAATATTTTAGCTTCAATATACAATACTTATAAAATAACAAATTAGTATGCAATTAATTTCCATATATTCATAATTAATTCGATATTAAAAAAAATCCAAGAAAAATAAACAATAAATATTAATAACTTTAAATATTTAATATAAAAAAAACACAATGGCAGGCTAGTCACCTACCTAGTTAAAACTCTATCACGCAATGAAATTGGAGCATGACATAGTCGATGATGTCATGCACTAGCCCTATACTCCTCCTAGGAGTGGAAAAGTGCCCTGAAGACCATGTATATCAAAGTTGTACAGGAACATGAAGCACATCTTGAAAAAAAAAATAGTGGATTTTTTTGAGTCTAATTTATGTTTTTTTTTTCTAATTATCAGTTTTTTAATTCAAAATTTTATGTTTAAGCAGCTATTACTTGAAAACGGTAAAACATCAATCATCGGAATAATGTTATGTGGGTCTATAAATTAACAGAAAGTTTCCGAACATCACTATACTCTAGCTTCAACAGCTTCGAAGCTATAATGGACATTCGATGTCATAATTTTTTCAATCGGTTAAAATAAAGAAAAAAACCACCCAAAAGTACCACTTTTTTTCTAAAAAACTTGAACAAATCACCCCTCAACAGCTTTAACTCTTGAACATGTACATATTTCTATACATTACATATTTCATTTCGTACAAATTCATATTTAATGGTTATAAAAGAGAGGAGTATCCCCTTTTTTACCGACCGTATTATGTAAACAATAGGTAGGTTATGTGATGGCAACAAATTTTGCATACTGAGTTTTCGGTGGGAATGCACTTGTCCATAGTAAGGAGGTGTAAATAAACTATTTTTAGCAACCTGTCGGTCTGTGTGTGCACGCGTTTATCTCAAGTTCTGCTGAACCGATTTTCATGAAATTTTATATGTAAGTTTATTTCCACCATGGCACGGACTGATCAACTTTTGAGATATATCAGGCCTCGGGAACTGCACTTTTTAGCGGGTCTATTTTACATTTTTGAACATTTTGAAGAAAATATTCAACCATTTTACTCGAAATTTTATATATGTATAAGCTCAGCTCGACCGTCCGCGAAACCTCCTAACTTTTGGAAAAAATCAGGCGTCAGCAACGGGACGTTTACTACGGGCCAAATATACATTTTTGTGTATATAAAGAGAAATAATCAACCGATTTCATTGAAATTTAATATTTAAATTCTTCTTATTAAAACAATGAACATATAAATTTTTTTTAAAGATCAGGGCTCGGAAACTGATCTGCGGGCCGATTTTACATTTTTTATCATATTTACGGGACGGATTGATGGAATTTCTTGAAATTTGATATTTGAGTTCTGGTTGTTACCGAAACTAACTGGCGAGCATTTCAGTTAATTCTGGTAACAGAAAGCGAAACTCTACTAAGAGCCAAATTTACATTTTTCTAGGTATGTTAACTATAAGCTTACTAATGTCCTAAAAATTGGAAAGAAGTATTTAACAGACATTTTTATAATATTCTGTAACACTTTCACTTAACTAGACAATACACATTGCGATCAGTTATGTGCAGATTCTTTTTAATTGATTTAAAACAATGAAATATTTGCCACCAAGTATGCAAAATAAAATATCAGTCTTTTTTCTTTTCTTATTAATGTAGTTAAAAGCAGATACGAGGTTCATTTCACAGTTCTCTTACTACAAATTCTAAAGATTACAAGGGAGAAAAGGTCAAAAAAATAAATATTGATTTTTTAAATAAAAGTACCAGAATTAATATCAAAAAATTATAAAATGAACAGAAGAAATTTTTGATGTAATATACTTTTTTTACGTTTTTAGAATAAGTGATTTCTTATTTCACATTTAAAAAATATTTTGAATCCAATGCTCTTCTAAAACCTCTTGCCGAAAGAAAAAACTTCTATTATTTTAATAATAGGAATACCAAAACAAATTTCTCATTTATTTTATCTTATTTTTTCAACGAGTACATTTTGATGATTTTAAAGTAATTTTTGCAGTAAATCAACAAAAGAGTTGGTAAAAAAATACCATTATGTAAAAAAATCTTTTTTTTTCCAATTTCTGTTGATTTAACATTAATTAGTTACCACAAAATTTGAAAAGTTTAATTATATGTAGTTTTGTGTTAGAAGACATATGTATAATGATAGAAGATATAATATGTATGTAGCAATTTAGTAGCACATAATATACATATAATATAAAGAATGTTTACATGCAAAAAGGTTTGGTAAGAATGGATGAGTTATTGAAAGACATATAAACAATGGCATTTGAACATTTTTGTAACGCAATTTTGAGGTCTTAAAGCAAATTGGGGTTTCTTTTTTAAAATAATTTTTTAATGTAGAAATGAGAATATTATGCTACTCTAAAAATCCTATATCATACGTAGGTATAGTATGTATAGTTTTTAGTTTGAGTTGTGTTCCGAATGGGTTACTAGTAATTGTGTTTCAATAAATAGAGGAAAAGCAAAAAATTAATTACAGAAGTATTTATTTTAAAATTCGTATTGTGATCGGAAAAAAGAATATTTTTTTGTATTCATAGAGTTTTTAAAAAGTCTTGATTTTAATTTCTTATTTTCTGGAAAGTTTGAGTTTCGCTTTTGTTTTTGTTTTGTTGCAATTTAATTTGAAATGACTGTAGTTCAGTCAATTAAATTAATGGTCACATTTTTATTTCAAACAAAAATAGAAAAGTATAAAAGTGGTTTAGATGAAGCAAACTATCTTTTTAACTTTTTTGTAGGAAATACTTAGAATACAAAAACTGAACACAACTGCCTACATCACATCTAAATGAGAAACTGCGCAGTTGTAAACTTAAATTTAATATTTAAGAGAATTTATTTATAGAAGTTTATTTTAACATGGTGGTTCGCGCTACTTATTAGTTTAATTTACGTAATGTCATCTTTAACAAAAGGAACGAAATTATGCGAACGGGATGACAAACAGAGTGAAGCAATCAACCGTGTGCTACCCATCACACGGTAGCAAAAATCATCGTTGTTATAGTAGGTTTCTTCGCATTTCCTGTTCAACATCAACCATAAATTCATCGCAGGCCACGCAATTGTTGTTGCGTACCATGAGTGTGTATGTGGCTGATATTTTTATTAGTACCTTGGAAAATGTGCTAGATTAATACTTTATAATATATGGAGTAAAAACAGCGCATCAAACAAACTATCATGCTTCTCTTTTGTTTTTGTAAAATTTTACCTATGAGGCTAACACCTCTATACTCTATTTTGCACTTCAAAAATTTTCTTATAAAACCCTACTTATCCTGAAATTGGAATTGGCTTAACTAATATTTTTACTGCATCATGTAATTTTTATACTGCATTAGATTACTCTATTCAAGCATTTATACAGATAACATTTAGAAAAAACATTTAAGGTCGATAACTTGCTTAACACTTCAAATATTTTTTTTAAAAAATGTTCTCCTTAACAAATTTTTCGCAAATTTAATTTTCTGTATGTTCATATAATTCCAGAACTTCCTTGCAGAGAAGTTACTTAAGTTTTCAAAGGTTTCCAATGATTTGGTCGATCAAAATCACAATGAAGGAATTAATACTTGAAAGTAATTTTAGTGATGCTTTGGTTTTTGCAAATAATACTCTATATTTAATTTTTTTTGTCAATTTGCGATGCGTGATTATAATTTTCTCATTTTTGGCACATTGAAACTATACTCGAGGGTCCCAATATCAACCTTGGATTATGAAACCATAGTATTGGTGTAAACT